TTATAATTAAAATATGGATTTAATTTTATTGATAAGCTCTTATAGTTATCTTTTTGCAGTGTACGCATTATGTAAATTACAAATTGGTATATCGGCTGAGTTTCCATTTAGGAAATCTGAGTTTATCGACACATGTTTGGAACCAGAAGTGGACACCCATAGTCAGTGGCGTATCCAGAATTTTTTTTTTAGCGGGGGGGGGGGCACACACTGTTGTATGCGCTCATGTATAGAATAAATATAAATCTTTAAAATAAAATTTAGTAAATAATACTGCCAACGAGGGGGAGAGGGCATGGTCCCTGTGCCTCCATTATCTGGATACGCCACTGCCCATAGTAATTTGTGTTTTTCAAAAATTTTCATGGAACTTTGGAACCTCCGTAGAGAAATTACACAAAACTATTATTGTTACGGAACCTGGAAATACTTCACCAGCGTTATCATACTGAGAAGTGTATCGACTTTCTCGTTATAAGAAGCAGTGGTTAAAATAAAAGGATATTATTACTTATCGCCTATCGGTAAGTAATGTAGATTCATGATGCTTTTATTACTTTTATTTTTCATTAAAATCTCGCTTTTAGAATTTTTGTATGTACTCATATTCCCATATAATTGTATTTGGTATTATATCTGAACTATTATCACTGTAAAGTGAAAATATGGATTACTTGGTACAAAATAATATAATTAAGGCATAATTTTTAAGAACATGTTTTGTAAACGCACTAATAATTAATGTGTATTGCAACCCAATAACCCTAAATCATCTGTGGCTCAAATACGAAAAATAAATAAATGTGTTATGGAATTTCACATTATATATTTATTAGTAATTTATCATTGGTCATAAGTCACACAAAATGCCGTCTTTGATTATCGTTTTGATCTTAGAGTGCACTGTGTATATAGTGTAGGCGGTATACAACTTTACACTGCACGTGAACTGTTTGAATAGAACGGCGTTTTGAGTATGCAATTTTAATGTTTATCGTTATTACGTTTTTATATGGTATTACTTGTCATACTGCAGCAATACATTTTGTGGATAGCAATATGGGAAATACTTTTATGCAATACAATTGTTGTAAAAATAAACAGAACCATAGTTGTAATTAAGGGCGATTGTAAACTCCACCGATTTACAGGTAGTCGATTTTAGGGTTGGATTTATAACATGTAAATTCCACCGATACATTTTTTTTACCTGAAAAAAAAATGTAAACTCCACCGATACGTATTTTTGACCTGAACCACCGGGTGCGACGTCCTCTTAACGACCGCAGATAAAATCATATCGCGATATCGCGAAACGAATGCATTCGATAAAATATTTTCGAAGACACATTTTAGTGTCACATTCTCGGTGACACATTAAATTAAACAGTATTAATGAACCTAATAACCTTAGAAATTCACAATCAAAGACACGCCAAAAATATTTAAACACCATAATTTCGTCATTCAAGGCAAACAATATTACCATTATGCAATTCGTCAAAGCTGCATCTAAACATTATCAAACCAAACAAATTTTTTTAATACCTAAATTTTCTTTAAGTAATTATTTTTTTATTCATTTATTTTAATTAACATTTTTTTAACTACGAACTAGTGATCACTATTAATTATTATTATATCATTTATTTTAATATTGTGTAAAAAAAGATATAAGTATCTAAATATAATATATATAAATAATAAATCTGTACATAAATTATGTAGGAACGTATTACCTATAACGTAATGTTAATAATTATAGATTTTTCTATTTTTTTCTATTTGATTTTTAAATGATTTTTTTTTTAAATTATTGTTAATTAATAATTATATATTTTTCAATTTTCTATTTTTGCTATTTGATTTTTATATGATTTTTTTTTTAAAAATGATTGTTAATTATTATTAATAATTATAGATTTTTCTATTTTTTTCTATTTGATTTTTATATGATTTTTTTTTAAGTCATTGTATTTAAATACAATAAATATATTATAATATAACTGCACCCACATAAATGATGTAATCTTAGTTAATCAGATTGGATTTGGATTACAATTAAAAAAAAAAAACATACCAGTGGAGTTTACATTTTGTTTCAGGTAAAAAAAAATGTACCGGTGGAGTTTACATTTTTTTTTTCAGGTAAAAAAAACGTACCGGTGGAGTTTACATGAAAAAAGGTCTAAAAAGGTCGCAATCGGTGGAGTTTACATGCGCCCGTAATTAAACTAGTTGTGCATAAAAACATCAACATTATGGAGTTTAGGAAAAAAAAAATAATATAGGGACTATTAACGAAATAAAAAAATAGATTACAACTCAGTGGTACCGCAATATCGGAAAAACTATGGGAATCTTCCACGGCCTTTCACAATAATATGCTGTGATGTTATATTTCAGATATTAAAATATTAGCCGATCAAAAGACGCGGAAGTCGTGTTATTCTCACGCACGCTACTGAACGAAATTCTGTGTCTTTTATCATTTGCATAATATGGAGATCCAAGTGGATAGTATAGGTACTATAGGTTTATTATTGTTTGTATTTTATAACAAAACATATTATAATAAGTAACGTCTAAATACTGCTTATTACCTCCATAGTAAAGTACATGAGCCTTTCAACTACGTTGTGCGAAATTGTAATCCAATACAAGAGGAAGTTCACAACAAAGTCAAATATTGAATTTTAAATAGGGGCGCATGTAAACTCCGCCACAAGTACCTTTTTTTACTGTAAACTCCGCCAGAAAAAAAAAACAGGTAAAATTGGGTTCATGTAAACTCCGCCACTGAAAAATATCAGGTAAAATTTAGTTTATGTAAACTCCGCCAGTGAAGAAAATCAAATAGTAGTATAAAATTAATATGATATATTATTAAAAAAAAATTATAATATAATATCATATCATATCATATCAATATTTAAATCATAGTATAAAAAATCATAATAAATAATCCAAAATCATATTTTTCATAATAATAATTAATAATTGTCAACATTAAATATACACAAATCATAGTCAAAAAACAATAAATAATTAATAATCGTCCACATAATATAATAAAATATAATAAATAATTAATAAATAATCGTTATAAATATTGTCATGTATGAAAACTATAATGATGTGATACAATTTGCAAATATTCTAAGTCTTGTATTTCTTTATTAGTATACCTATTCATAGCATCCTGTAATACTGTCATTTTTTTTTTTTTATTTCGAATTTTTTAGCTGATTTACTTGAGATATACCATTTAGTTTAATATAAGTTTGGGTTTGAAATTCGATAAGAACTTTACTAAAAATGTGAACATTCGGATGACTTTTATAAAATGAATTTCTCAGATGACTATGATGACTATTCACAGGCATTTGTTGTTCGATTTAAAAAACTTTCATCTCTGATCGTTTTTGGTGCCATCTGAATAAGCGAAGAAATAACTTCAGATCGCGAAGTTGGAACTGAAGTTAACTGAAGTTAACTGACCAGGTAAAAAAAAAAACTGGTGGAGTTTACATATACCCATTAGTCATTACAGGTAAGAAAAAACAACTGGCGGAGTTTACCATAGACCTATTATCACCTTTTTATCTTGACCGATATTCTGGGGGAGTTTACAATCGCCCTTAAATAGGAGCATTTGTTGGCTTACAAAAAACAAATATTTTTTTATTTATATAGGGTTAGAAGTTTTAGAAGTTATTATAAATGGTTATAATTTCAGACCTGTATTTTATATGTTTGGTCAAAACTATCAGAATTATGACAGTGTTAAAAATAATTTGACGTGCGTATATAGCATACATTGAACAGGGCTTAACAAACAGGGTTTTACTGATTATTTTTTAAAAAAGTAGTTACGTTACTTGATATTTTTCCTCTGCAAGGAAAATTATATGAATCATAAATATGATTTTGGGGGACGGTTACCGTGGCAACGATAATATTACTAGCTTTACGAAAATCGGTAGGAAAAAAAAGTTGTAGACAGCTCAAAAACAAAAATTAAAAAAAAAAACAGAGACGGACAAATTTTTAAATTATTATAATATTTGTTCCCGTTTTGCATTTTATAATATTTTATTATTATTGGCGAAAAACTGCAAACCTAACCGATATATTAATAATATCATATCGTATCATATCAGATTATTAAACGCGATCGGTCGGTCGCTGTGCGTGCGCAACGGCTGCAGTGCTTCGACGCACACGACACCACCACGAATCTAATATTTGACGCTGCACAGTGAAAGTAAAACCGTATATCCACTGGCGGCGCGCTTATAGTCGGCGGCCTGGGCGCGTGTGTGCGTGCGGTCCGCGCGTGAGGGCACCCGTCAGTCGCGCGCCGGACAATCGTCATACACAATATAATATATCCATATGCACACACACACACACACACACACACACACACACACACACACACGCACACACACACACACACACACACACACACACACGGGCGCGCGCGCACACACACGCACACACCGCGAGTGCACACCTGCAATAACACCGCCGTGCACGCTGGCGAACGAACGCACGCCGGCCACTTATCATCGATCCGCCGCCGCGTGTTATCGTGCGCCGATAACGTATAATTTACAGTGCTATAATATAATATCGAAAACGTCGAATAAAAAATAATAATATATTTTAATATTATACCTATACGTGATATTGTACCTAATAATAAATAAATAAAAATTCGGTTTCGCCCGCGTCTTTCGTGATATTGGTCGTTCGATTCCGCCGTCGTCGCCGTCGTTCCCCCCGGAAACCGGGAATTTGAGTTTTTTCCTCCGTTAGAATCCCGTTTGTTAAAAAATATTTTTCTCATATTCGTCGACCGGGAAATCATCGGTTTGGTTTTTTTCGCGTGGTTTTTCTTCGACATGTATGCGTCGGGCGACGCATCCGCCTAGGACCCTCGGTGATCGCCACCAACAGCACCTCCAACAACACCTCCACAACCAACACCAAAGATGACGATGAACGCGATGACGACGGCACTGCTGTTGGCAGCCGCGTGCTCGTTGCTGATCGACGTGCCGGCCGCGTCCGGTTACAGGGCGGTTCGCACTTCCGGTCCGCTACCGGTGACTGTGCACGTCCGGGCCGGCGGTGTAGTCGCCGGCGGTCCAGTGGCCAACAGGACTTCCGGAGTCGTCTTTCCGGCGTCTGTGGCGTCGTCGCCGACGACGACGACCACGACGACGACCACGTCAACGTCCACCGGGGCTATAGCGTCAGCCGCCAACGCTGCCGCGGCCGCTGCCGCCGGGTTTACGTCGTTCTCGACCAGCAGCTCAGCTTCCAACCACACCGGTGCCCGGAACCAGACGAGATCTGAGCGACTCAGAGCAAGGTGAGTCAAGCATGCCACTGTACAATTAATGCTGTAATAATAACTATAGTGTTGACTATAATATGTGACGGCAGTTTGCTTGGCCGCGATTGGAGACTTTAACGCGCGCAAGACGCACCAACCCCCGAGGGCGTGTGAAAAAATTTAAATCCTGTAATATTAAACTATGCACATAAAATACTTTCGAGCATAGGCTGAAACGTAGTTCTCTTTCGTGTTCTATTATGGTACTCTGTGGACAATGTATAGGTATATACTCGTATTATTATTTATTACTCTGCTAAATAATATAGTCTCAAAAGTTACGAGATCCGAACGGTGTTACTTTTTGAACACGCGTTACACACGTGTTATAAGTTATAACATTGATTTTAAGGAAGGTACTAGCATTATAAATATAATATTATGGTCGGACTAGATATTATTCAAAGAAACCTTATAATTTTGAAGTTTCCTTCGATGTCTTATACTAATCTTACGTGTACCAAAGACATATTATTATACTAGTATACAGCGATCAAATAAAAAAATATTACTTTTATTTAATTTATTTTTATTTTTAGGAGATAATATACAATCTATATCATAGATATAATAAGTATAATATGTGGGTTAAGAAAACAATAGAACATGATTTAAATAATTTGAGGAGAGAAACCACCCAGTGATGACACTTTCATTTGATTTAAAAAATATAATTTAAAAACATGTTAAATTATGTTTTTTTATTCAATATTCGTTATATTAGGTATATTAGAATAGTTTAACCCATTATGTTCATAAACCATTATTTGGTAATAAGTCACTGATTTAAAAATAGGTAAATTTAAATTTCATTGAATAGTATATTATTAAAAAAATTATTATTATAAAAAAACAATAGGGATTTAGTATATAAATTAAATATAATATTTTATTGTTTTATTATAATAATATTATAATAAAAATTATACCTATAGAAAATTATAACATTTCTGAAATGTTATATATTATTATTGTATTAAAGTTTATTTTCATAAACAATTATTATGATCATAATATACCTAGTAACACAATAAATATTTTATTTTTAATCAACAAAACGGGATTCATATATTATTAGTTACTACTAATAGATTTCTTATCACTAAAGTACCTATAAAAAAAGTATCAGTTTAAACTTTTGGATTTAAAATTGTATGCTGTTTCAAGTTTTTATTTCTGTAGTGGTGGATTTATTGTTAAAAATAGTTGATAAATTAAGTTTAGATAGCTTATTATAAATTTAAATTTTTGCTGTTCGTTGAAAATTTTATACTCAAAACTTCAAGTCAGAATATTAAAAATATACGTATCACACAGTGTAATAAGTTAAAAGATTTACTGGCTAAACTCATATTAATGAAACACCCGATTTATAAATAAATACTACCTATTCGTTTTATTAACTGGTTTTGTTTATTTTTTTACAATTTATTTTGTATTTCATTTATTATATGCTTCCTTTGGTGGCACTCGTATTTTTTTTAATACTTCATTCAAACATTATTCACATGTTCTGACGATATATATAAACCAAAACAAGAAATACTACATGTGTCAAATGAACACATTAGTCGTTTTTCTTATATTTAAAAGAATAATAAAGGATCTTCTATATAGAAGACTATATAGTTTGTATATGGGATACTGGGTAATATTTAGTTTAGTTTAGTTATTTTTAGAACTACAAATCCAACCCAAGTTTCAATTTAAAAGACGTGTGCAAAAATATTAAAATGTATGTATATATTATGTAGTATATTTTTATTGAAAATAATATAAAATAAACTAAACTGAATATAAGAATTGAAAATTGATTTTCTATAATGATAATGGTGTGGTGGCGTAATCCCTTAATTCAACTGGTTTCCAAAAACAGATAGTATTCGTGTGGCACACGATAATTGTGTGTTACTATAAAGTGACGTACCTACTAATATAATAGCCGATCCGTTCTATAGAATATTTTAATGAATCCCGCAAAGCCATATGGTTACAGGTTTCGTGGGTAATGAGCCAGCGGTCATTTTAGAGCCTTCGAGCCAAAGACGTAGGACATTCGTCGTCGGCGCGAAAACCATGATAATATTTTATTTATTTTACTCGAATTGCCTAGGGACATGTTTTTTTTTTAAACATCTGATCAGTCTAAACACTATGTCACTGTTACTAACTGTTTGGACCAAATAATCCGTTCTTTAATAGTTCAGTAAACAGTGTATAAATTATAGCTATTAAAGACTATTTGTTTGGTCCGTTATTATATTAGCGTATAAATATAATATATTATATATAATATTATTGTGTACGTCTCAAATAGGTTATTTAAATTTTGGTTTCTAACAAAAATCATTGGGCGACTATATAGAGTATAATATAAGTCAGAGTAAAAAAAATATTATTTGATTTGACTCGTATTCGTATGTTTACGCAGTATGCCTGCAGTATATATAAGGCATGCGCGTGAGTTCAAGTATCGTCATCTATATGACTATATATACCTACATATAATATGGTATTATACCGCTATATTATTTATTATGTTATGAAATGATGGTAACCACGTGGTTATGTAGAAGCTATTAACAATTTGTCAAACCCAACGAATACGTTTGTGATTTCGAAAATCTGTTTCAAAAACACTTTTAAAAATTAAATATATTTAACCTTTCACTATTTGCTTGTTGATCATTGTTCCCTTCTAGTTTTAAATGCCACCTGTGTTAATTAAAGTACGCCCACCGGGCACGAACCATTTCCTTAATTATCTAACGTCAACTGAACTTTTAAGCCAACAGTTTGGCTCTCTTTTGTTATTCACATAGATGCATGAAAAATCATTAGGTACTTGCTGAAAAAGAAATCCATAAATAGAGTTAATAGGTATTTATTTAGGTTTTGTTTGAACAATAATATTGCAGATATTTTCACAAATATTAAATTTAATTCATAATATCCCGAGGAAATTTTTTACTCTTTCATTTTAGATTTTAATTATTTACTTTGACTAACGCTCGGAGAAAATATTCTTACTGTATTATTATTTCCCTTTTAACCATACTACACTATAAACTCAGTAGCAAGTACACATACAGAGTTTTCCGTATATGGTGTGTACAAAATGAACATCACGCTCTTCGATTTTTAGTCTTGTATAATATTATACACGATATTATATAACCAATTATATTGATAACCAAACATAATAATTAATTAGTCCTCGGAAATCGTTAATTTGTTTTAGTTATTAGAACTGGTGAACTTACTTAGGGAACTATTTATAATACTATACAGGTTAAAATCAGTATTAAACTAAATATATTGCATTAAAAATGTTATGCTTGGCTAACACGCAATACAATAAAAAATTAATTTTCTTAAGTTTTACAAAAAATACGAAATATGCATATTCATTATGAATTATAATATATAATTGCTACAAAAAAATTGTAATGATACAAATTTAATAAATTACGTCTCGTTTTGATACCTCAGCTGCTGGGTCATTAGTCATTTTTCCAAAAAATTTTTTTTGAATGTATCTAACCTCTCTCTACGACCAGTTTAACCGGTTGCCGTAGTATTATATGGTGAATGAGAAAATGGTAAAACAAGATGATACACATGTAATACGTACATTTTAATTTTATTTTTATTACATTAGCCCGATTGTTGGTGAAAGCCAAGTGATAAATTAGAAAATTGTATTAACCAAATGCTGATTTCTAGATTAACTGGGCCTCCTCAAATATTAATTTAGTAATAAATAAAAACAAATTTAATGGATATCTTGTATCCTACACAATTTTTTGAGTTTGCCCGAATTATTTATTGAACAAAAATATTTCATTCGGCTCTCCCCTTTAAACGGAGTATCGACTTACTTTTATATTTATTGGTTTTTGTAATGGATTAAAAATATTGTGAAAATCGTATCATTTGTTTTACACTTATTATTGTTGACTCTGTAGCAAATTTAAAACTAGCAAATTCTACTTTCTATGTGGAGCGTTTACAAGAGTACCTACAGCATTATAGATTATAATTATTGAATCGGGCAAATTAATTACGGGTTAGGTTACGTTTTTCGACCGGAATCTCGTCGGAATTCCGACCGTTTAGCGGTTCACCGTGCATGCGTGTTGTGCAAGAGCAAGACTATACCCGTATTACTTCGGTCCTAAAACAGTCAAAGTAGCTGCTGGCCAGCATTATGGCTATAGAGTCGACCTGACAGCGGTCGATACTATATCATACCGCTGTAATATTATTAAACCATAATAATATTATATTATACCGAATAAAAATATATACCTACTATCGGAAACCGGAAAAAAATTTATGCGATTGTTCATAAACGGTTATGACATCGTGAAATTAATACGATATCGTATTATTATTATTATGTATAATATATATATATAGAGGTACATCATGATACAAATATTGTAATGATACGATGTATACCGGTAGACGATGACGACGACGACGGGGCACCTCATAATATAATATTCACGATCGAAGAGTGGAAGCAGTGGCGGGAATCGTAACATTCGTAACGCGGCGGCGACGTCGGCATCGCTGTTGGCGTCTACCTGTCTGTCCAGTTTTTGCAAAACACATGCTCTTCGACGGTACACATTTGAACGCGCACACCGTTGGCACGGGTTCAACCGGGTCATCGGAGAACCATGTTTTACGTCGGGTCGTTATTAAAACATAATAAATCACGGAGGTGGCTCGAATCCGCGAGCGCGAATATACACGGAGACGAAGCCGTATTATAATATTATTATATAATATTATACATATATAGGATATATAAAATATTTGTACATATATAGGATATATACATATATGTATATATTATACGCCTATATAAACCTATATATGTATATGTACATTATATATTATTAAACGCGCTCGCGGTGTGCCCCCATACTATAAAATACATATATATATTATATACGTATACGATATACC